CTGGAGGAGTTAAGCTTTTCGAATATGTGAGTCAAAATTGATATATTTCTGTGGCATACGCTGCCCTTGCCTTGGGGGGCCAAAACCCATAAACTGTCGGCGAAGAAACGCTTGACAGGTAAGAAACATGTACTGAAGCCAAGGCTTCCTCAAAAGGTCCCGTGGTCCGTCGTCATTAACACAAATTCTATATGGACGCCTTGTTGAGGCAGCCAGGCCAATGTTCGCGTGGACAGCCCCAGCAACCCCCAATAGAGCAGCCAATCCACGCCCATGCTAGACTCACAGTACCCAATAGCAACCGACCAAACACATCACACACACACAAATCAACACCATCACGGCAAAACCTAGCACAACTTAACCATGCTGAATACTAAGCAGCAGGACAGATCCATGAAGGTCTCAAGATACATCAGGTGGCTTCTGACCAACGCCCTTGCCACCCCATCTTCCGCGCCTGCGCCAGCGTCTGCCGATCCTTGGAGTGCTCGAACCTCCTGAGCTGCCTGCGCTTGGGATCCAAAGGCCGCTGATCCGCTGATTGAATTTCGGTGTTGCCTTTGTCAACCAATCACTGTGAATAAAGGGCGAGGACCATGGGTTTGGCTCCTCCTCCATTTCCCGTCTTGGAACCTCCAAACGTGCAGTTTCAACGGAAACCACCAGTTTTTGCAACTATTGAAGGGGAAATCCAGTGAAACCTTGTGGCATCCAAGCGTGGGGCTGGAAACCACGCACTCATGATGACAAATAGGCCACTCTTCTCCAAACGACTCTGTGGGCCACAATCAGGACCTATGTCAGGGGCCATGTCAGGGGGCACCACATCTGTCAAACTTCGGGGAATGCCAAATGCGAAGCAATGTTTGCTTTGTAGCTTGGGCACAGGTCAAAAAGCGCTGACAGAATCTCAGAAAGCACCCACGAGTAACGCATGCCGTGCATTGCATTGACATGACTTAGGACTGGTCAGGTGCTGCTGCTTTCTCCTAGGTAGTCGTCTCTATCAATCCGGTGTCGCAAACACGCATGCCATGTGGAGAAAGCCAAGCCAAGTGCAATGGATCGGTTTGCGACAAGCTGCAATAATTACAATCATCCAAACCGTTGGCAAAGCCCGAGGGCTGAGCAAAGAACAGTCCCAGATATCATATCTGCCTGGCAGGCCCTGAAAAGCTCATAGCGGGTGAATTGGCAAAGCTCTTGCTGTCCCAACGTGGATGTGCGGCATGCGACTTTTGTAGCGTTCCTTCCTTGCTTACTAAAATGCAATTTTGACCTCTGATCAATTACCACTGATGATACACGCTAGTCCCTGATGGATAAGGCTTCCTTTCACTTGCGTTGCATACGGATCAGCAAAAAGGCCTGCCGGGTTGCTACGCTGCTTTCAAAAGCATAGCCCATGGCTGATGAACAGCCACCATCAGCCACCAATTACGGCGACCAGTTTAGAAGTGCCAACACAATGCCCCTTCAAGGCCCAAGTGAAGCAATCGCAGAAATCGCCTTCATGGCCCAAGCGCTCACCTTGCAAGGAATCTGGACCAATCTTGGGAATGCCGCGCCTCTGGAAGCCGTCATTTGGACAGACAGCAGGCCGTCGCTGGGACACGAAGCAAAGGGCCTGCTCAAAGGTCAGATTCCTCGGGCTCACAGGGTCCATTCAAAGGCCCAGCCCAGCAGTTCTGGAGAATGACCGGAGTAGCTACAGGCTTCACGGGGGTTTCCATGGGAAACCCTTCGCTCCTTGTCCAGCTCGTCCTTCTCCCCACCGTTGCATCGCCCCGCGCCTTCCCCCGTCCCTTACCAAGGCGCAGGTGGGACATCAAGTAGGCGCAAACGCTGGTGGTGCTACGGGAGATGCCTCCGGCGCAAGCCCTGGATGGGGCCCTTGGGTTTGAAAGAAATCAAGGGGCAAAGAGGCTGTCTGTTTGGGCGGCAAAAACCTGATGCAGGCGGGTTGTGAGGGGCTAAGCAGACGCTCATTTAGGGCCCACTGCCACTCAGGGCTCTCATTTCTGTGGAGTAGGTCTGCCGATAATGCTCACACATCCCGAATCCCTTTTGTTTTTCTAGCCAACTTTTCGGATGGAACCCTGGGGCTGGCCCTGAAAGGGTCGCGCACATGAATTGGCATGGTTTTTTGCAGCAACCAGGCCGAGGGCACTATGCTCCCCTCGCCCCCTCGCCTGCCGCGCAGTGCACATAAACGGCATGACCGTTGTGGCGGCAGCCCGCAATGAAGTGCACGATGCCTGAGAACTTGTGGGGCGGTGTCTAGTTCACCTGGAACATTGACATCTAAATCATAGATTGTTTTTGCAAGTGTGGTGATCGGAATGGCAAAAGCCTGCCATGGAACAGTGAAACCAAATAAGCCACTCATATGATTGAAAAGGCAAACGCAGACCAGCCAAGCCGGGGCAAATCTGCAAAGATGTAAAAAACGCTTGATTCATCAAAAAGTCTGGGTAAGCCCGCCTAGTCAGTCTGATGCAGGCTCAGATGCCATGCTCAAATGCAGCCAAGTTGCGAGGGAAATGGACACCTCAAATGAGCCACGATTGAAAGTGTGGCTACCAACAAATCGTGACACACCCTGGCTGTTACGCATAATTTTGCGAGCCCCCCCCCACAGACTACTGAACGAAGCTGAAATGGGTGACAAAGGGTAACAAGGCTTCAGAAACTGCAGGCCACAGCTTGTAACCAGGTTTGAAAACAGCATTGTGCAGTGCATGCCATGTCGAAGACTGGTGAAAGCATACAAGCCATGTGCTTGAAAGACATTCGCCCATCTTCCCTTCGCGGCAAGGCAACACAAATGCAAGGAAGCACTTGCTTTCAAAACACGAGCGCATCGCACCGTGAATATGGGCAACGGCAACGGTTCACGCAGCAATCCATTCACAAGCAGGTTGCTCAACTAGCGAAGCAACATAGGGCCGTGGAAGTAAGCGTGCACACCAAATCGCGATGTGGTGACCCCATCCTGCGGGCTGCGGGCCGCCTCTTGAAATCCAGAAGCAATGCGCCGACAAAGGAATGTAGGACACAATTCTCAGAATTGACCGCTCTTCCATGTAGAATGCAACAAATGAACATACCCAACATACCCAGGCAGATCAGCAATCTTCCAACTCTTTCATGATTGGCGACCCCGACAAGGTTGGTTTTTGTTTATAGTGTTCTTTTCAGTCCCGCTCGAAGCACATATGACTTTTGAGGCATTCCCTCCCTTGAAACCGCCACGGCTGACAGAGAGGGGTTGGGCGACGACCGTTATTCAGTGTGGCCCTGTAACTTGCAGCCAAGGCGCTCAAATCAGTTGTTGGGACATCTGGTAAGTTGATGTGTTCACCTGACAGTGAAGCATAACCAAATTCTGCATACGGTCTGCAAAACAGGAGCATCCAATTTCCTTCATGATTCAGCGTGCTCCAAGTGCTCATCACATATCTGACCAAGCTTGACTGCATCCCCACCCCCAACCAAACTACCACCATGCCCACCCTTATACTCTCTCGGATGCCCACACATGTATGGGGAAGCTCAGTCCTTCTTTTGGGGGTTCGGGCTCCCATACATTGCCGAGGGTGTGAGGTATGCCACTTTCGGAAGGAGAAACCCGTCGGCCAGAGACTGCATCACGTCGGTCTGGGGATTCGAGCGTGCGAGCAGTCGGACACGATTTCCAGGCGCGGCAGGGCCCAAAGAGAGCACGCCTCAGCATGCAGCAGGGCGTGGCTGGACTAGTTCTGTCCTACTCAAACCTGGAGTCTCTTTTTTTGGGGGAACGACCCCATGTTGCCATGGAGACTCCAGGAACCTATGTGAATGGACAAGCGGGCCCTTTCAATGGACCCATCCTTCGTACAAACCTACCCCTTGTGTAGAACGAAAGGGGTGTTATTGCTACGTGCGCCTGTGTGCTGACAGAAGCAGCTACAAGCCATTCCGGGCCCATGTTTCTCACGGGGGCGGCCTGTTCCGATTCACAAGCACTACCTGGCAGCACTTGCAAATCATTGAGGCACTACTAAGTTGCTAATGAAGGGCTGATATGCTACCTGGTCGCCATTTCTTTCTGGCCAGCGAGAAGTTTGGGCCCGCCTTTGAACAAATCCTGGCGCCTTTTCGCCCGAGCCAGGGCCTCTGAAGCCCAGTGCTTGCGAAGGTGCAAGTGATGTTGTTCTTGGTGAAGAACTCGGGGTTTTCGAGCACATCTTGGCCTGAGAGCCAGTTCAAGCAATCCTTAGCAGGCTTCCTTCACACTCACTTGGCTCTGTGAAAAGGAAAACGGTCCAAGCCATGGAAAGCCCGCTACGAACCTGGTCAATGTGGCTCCCAAAAGCCTCCCACCGTCCGCGCCTCCCAGCCAGAGGTTTGGCAAGATCAGGGAGGGTGCGCCACCCATGGTGCCAGCTGCGAGCCAAAAGGCGCGAGGCCAAGGACGAAGCAAAGGTCACATTTCTGGGAGAAAGCGCCACACACCCCCCACCACTCATTAGCATGGCTGCCCAGTGTCCAAAACAAGCTTAGGCATCCAGCGGCAACCCCGTTACCACACTGTTGAGAGAAACTCCAAAAGACCAGGCAACACATAGTACGCAAATCTCTGTGCAACAAAAAGTGCTAAGTGACTCAACCACAAGCTGGTGCTGCCACAGAGGAACGCGCGCGTGCATCCTCTGCGTCAACACTGGCTTCCGATAAACCGGAAGCGGTCGATGAAAGAAGCCTTCAAGAATGGCTCCCAACGTGCAGGCTCATTTGGCATACAGCTAGCAAAGCTTTGGCATTCGCAACCTACCAATAGCAGCTGTTTGGACATGCAGGTCTTTGCCAATGAAATAGCAAGGTACCTGATCTGCAACCAAAATTCGTCGAGCCATGGCAGACACCGGTATTCCAGGCATGCCATGCCAAAATGAAAGGCACAAACACACAACCTGTCCCCAAGCTGTCGCAGTCGCACGTCCTGGGCCCCGAGCCTCCGGTACTTCGGGGCAATGGCCTCCAGCCGTGCCTCGTGTGTGAAGAGCGCCAAGCCCGGGCAATGGAACCGCTGCCATTTGGTGGGGTCTGTGAGCCCGAAAGGAATTTAGTCGTTTCTCTGTTTCTTTCGGCTCCCCTGCTAAAAGTTGAACTTTTCTTGGTTTAATACGGAAAACCCATTCGTTGGCAAAAAGTTAAAGTCCTAACATCCAAGCAAGATGCACCAAAGGTTTGACTGTAGATCGGGATTGCCATCATTCCTTCTGGGCGACATGGCCCTGTCAAGGCGCGCCTCCTCCTCCTGCAAAAGGCTCTGGACTCTCCAGCGCCCTTGGATCTCCTCCTGGACAGATCCCGGATGCTTATTCTCACATGCCCAAAGGACCCAGAAACAAAAGGTCAACCTATTTTGGGGCCATGACTAAAACTAGACCAAAAAGGAGAAACCAAAAGGTCAAAAGGTCGGGATTGGGCAACTGAGTATTAGCAATAGTTTGAAAGGACGGAGTCGCAGGAGACTACGGCAGCTTCAGCTCGGGGGAACCGGGGACTCAACCACCGCTCCGAAACATCCTGAAGCTGACAACCAAAGATCTAGGCGCTTCCCCATTCTTTCCAGGGGTCCTTCTTTCCAGAAAACCATCAGGGGAAACAGCTGGCTTTTGAAAAGAGCAATGGTTGAAAAAAATGGCGGGAATCAACCCCTAGAAAAGACCAAGCCCAAACCCTAATCCAGCGAGCTCCAGTGGAGGGATAGGTGGCATCAGATCGCATGCAGCTCCGGAAGTCCTCTGCATGCTGCTCCCACACCTGCTCCGCCTCAGGCATGCCGATACAGAACAGCTCCAAGTGACGGATTCTAGGTCCTCCAATAGACAGGTTAGAATAAGGTTACCAACCTTTTTCTGTAGTCTATGTTAGTAGGGGAACCCTCCCCTAACAAAGGGGTGAGAAAGGGCACTACTGGGGGACCTAGGATTTGTCTCGTTTTCCCTATGGGCCCCTTGCTTTTCAACGAAACCGCGGCCGGGCTGCGATCCCGGCCTTCAACAAGGACTGCCGCGCTGAGACCACGCCTTGCAGCACCTGGCCAGTCTCAAGCCCCCAGGCTGGAACCGAGTTGAACATGCGCCCGGCCTCAACCAAATGACTTTTTTCTCATGCAAAAGTCGGCCCCAAACTCAAACTCAACAAACACAAGAAGATCCATCCTAAAGCTGGTATACGGTATATATTGTATCATGCAAAAGTCTGCCCCAAACTCAACACACTCAACAAGATGCATCCTAAAAGCAGGTATTGTAAAGTGTCGACCGAGGCATGCTTCTCGGTCCAACAGAATGCACCTTAGAAGGCATCAATAAACGTTTGCCTACTACTTCAAGGTTTATTGGTGTGAACCTTGGCTCTCGCTGAAGGACCCTGTGCCTGGTATGCCGGCTGTAGTAAATAACCACCTGATTCCTTGTCGCAGCCAAACAGAAATGATGGCGGAGCGATGGCAATGCGACAACACAAGGCGCGCGTTGGCAGAAGAGGTCGATGACTGGCGTAGAGGCTAAGCCCGTAAATCCCCACATGCTGCGAATCCGAGTTCCGGCCAAACCCAAAATGCATTTGTCCAGCCTCACACGAAATGCCAGGTTCTGCCCTGTGCGTCCCAAGTGGATGCCTAAGGCACCCACCCTGTCATGAAAAGTAGTCAACCCAAAATGACTGGACCCAAGAAAGAAGTCTTCATGGGCATGGTCACAATCACCCACCACCCGTGATACCCGTGCAACAAATTTATCTGGGTACCACGCTTGTTGGATCATGCCTGTCCAGCCTGGCCTCGTCGTTTTGGCATGATCAAAGTCACCCCAAGTGGTGGCTTAAAGGGAGAGAACAACCCATTTTCTGACTTTGAAAACCCCTAGAAGCAGTCAAAATCATGACCTCTGCCAGAGCCTGCGGACGCCTCCAGCCCCATCCGTGCCTCTTCCTGCTGCTGCTGCAGCGCTGCCAGGCCGGCGGCAGCGGCGACCTGGCATGCTCCCCTTGACCCCCCCCCGTGTGGTGGCAGCCATGAAAACAGGGGCCTGGCAGGGTCCCAAATCGCAATTGGCTGTGGCTGAAAAACAAAAACGGTACCAAAATAGAACCCTGGTAAGTGGAAACATGGACCAAAAGCTGTGGAGCCCCTCCTGTTTGATTTTGAGCCACACACAATTAACAATGGGTGGTTTGGCTTGGTGGTTTCAAGGTTCGCAGGTCTCTTCCCACTTGGTAGACTTGGGTTGTTCAGAATGAGGTAATGCCATAGCGGGACACTTCACTACATGGGAAACCACCATCTGGCATAAGAATTAAGGACTCCGTTTGAACCCAGCAAAATGGCCCTGGCCGAACTTTGCGCCAAAGGAGAGGTGGAAAAGGAAACCCCATGGCCTTCAACCTGCTGCTCAAGAAAATACAATTGACTGTGAAGCCACGGCTCCAAAGTACAAACGATGCCTACGGCAATGCAGCTTGTTGACAAACTGATTTCACGAACAGAAGTTGCCAAGCAACACAATGTGCATATTGCATCAACTTCTGCACGCCATGTGTGTGTTGCGTCGCGCAGGATTTCATGGAACACTTTCCAGTATGGCTGCTTGCTGTGCGACATCTACGACGTTGGCACGTCAAGAGGAGCAGCAACGTCTCCCTGTCGTGGGGATCGGGTGATGCGGCAATGCGTTCTACCAGGAAGAAAAAAAATATGAACATGTAGGACGTCGACCGTCTACGAACCATCACCCAAAAATGCTTCCATCTTGATGCCGTCTACCTCCTGCACAACACCAAGAACATATGCATCAAGAGCAGCAAATCGATCCATTTCCTTGGCGCTGCATATGGGGTCCATCCATGTCCAATTCCATACGAGGAAGGCCTCACGTGTGTTGCCTAGTCTCAAAAGTGAAAGTCAACTATTGCCACCATGCCTTCTGAGCACGCCGCTCCCCCAAGAGTCGCTGGTGCTCCTTGGAGCGGAAATACGCCTTGCCTTCAGTTGGGCTGTTGTGTATGTGTATGTGACTGTATGTGTATGTGTGAGTGTCTGTGCTGGTGCGTGCATGCGTGGGTTGCGCGCTTGTGTGTGTGTGTGAATGCTTGTGTGACTTGTGTTTGTGGTTGTGTTTGAGTGTTTGTCTTTGTGTGCTTGTGTCACCCTGCCATGATAATCGTGATACACTCACTTGTCCAAGCCAATCTTCTGCTCTAGGCTCTCAGTGATCCTTGTTCAGTGCGGGTTCGCAGAAGGCTTAACTTTTTTTTTTTCCAGCGACATATGTCCTTTTTGAGGCCGAGTCTCTTTTGGGTTGTCTGGGTTGGTCTTCCATCCTTGGGCAACAGGTTTAACCCTTGGTAGGTTGAATGGGCAAAACACATCGCTTCCCTCAAGAGTCTCCGGGCCAATCGGTCACACCAAAGACCAGCTATGTTTCGAAGGGACATCGGAAGCAACCAGGTTCGGGGGGGGGGGCTCGTTCGTTAGGCAAACCCAAATACCCAAATCAAGCTCTGGGCCAGCATCGTCTGGGCATCCCGGCGCTTCTCCGGCATTCTGCACCTGATCGGCGCCCCGTGCCAAAAGAAAAAACAAAACAAAAAACGAGGCTTAGGCGAGGCATCTTCGGATTGGGCAATCGGAAGTGGCCTCATGCCCTCTGCTTTACTCTGCCCTTTAACAGCTTGACAAGGCACTCAAAGGCTTTAGACACCAGGTCGTAAGTTTCAAGGGAACGTCGCCACTTCTCAACTCGTCTCTGCGCAAAGCAGCCCGAGGAACACGAAACTCTGATCTATTGGCCTGCGCAAGCACGAAAAACCCAATCAAAACTAACAAAATAAGTAAGGCATTGGTCAACTCTTCCTGAGGATTGCCCAAACAGCCCAGCTTTGCTGAAGAAAAAGGTTTCTGCGCCTACCAGTTGCTCCATCCGCTCCGCCAGGTGGTCTTTGGCCTGGCGGGCGGGGGGCTGAGTACGAAACCATGGGCCGGAACGGATCGATTCTCCGCATGGGACGCAGAGCTGCAGCCAGCTCTAGGGGTTGAGTAGTCATCCGTCAATTGCAGGTGTCCTTATTTGTTTCTTGGCAGCCTTGTAATACCATGTGCTATATTATATGATCATCCCGGCTGGTGCTTCTTTCGCTGCTTTGCCATGCTCTCTCTCTCTCTCTCTCTCTCGCTCTCTCTCTCTCGCTCTCTTTCTCTCTCTCTCTCTCTGTCTCTCTCTCTCTCTCTCTCTCTCTCGTTTTCTCTCTCTCTCTCTCTCTCGCTCTGTCTCTCTCTCTCTCTCTCTGTCGCTCTCTGTCGCTCTATGTCTCTCTCTCGCTCTCTCTCTCTCTCTCTCTCTCTTCTCAGTCTTTTTAAACAACCCATCCAAAAAGGAACTCTGTAGGGTCTGACGCTGAAACACTTCAAGATCCTGGACTGTGTGGCCTCCAGGGTTGGTTTGGCGCAACAAGCATTTTCCTTCCTGGGACACTGGCAGCGTTTCCACTGCGATGACCCAAGCCCGAAGCTCCCAAGACACCGCCTGGGCCGTGCTGGCAATGGCCTGAGCTCTCAACGCAGCCAGCTGGAGAAGCCCAATGCAACATGCCAAGACAACCATTGCTCACGCACAATGATCAAAAACACATCTTTGTTTCATGACTGCGACCTGGCAAACAGAATTGAAATCGATAGATTGGGAAACTCAGCGTTCAGCATGGGTTCAACCAAACGTGCATCTACCCTTGAAAATGAGCCCGCACGGCGAGTGCTGGAACTATCAAACATCACAAAGAAGGCTCCAGGGTTCCTCAGCTTCCTAAACTAAAGTGCCTTGGGAGAAATCGGACTCGGGACATAAGGGATGTAGATGTTTAAACGGCATTGTGCCCGGGGGGAGAGGTGGGGGGGCCTGCGTTCACCCACCACAAAGATGTAACAATCCCCCGAAATGCCACTGACATGTGACGACAGGTGTTCTCAAATGCAGCTTTGGAAGCCATGGCTTTCTTGCTATCTGAGCCTCGAGATAGGTCCAGTTTGCCAACGTGAGCCGCCCAACACCTGCCAACTCGTTCGACAACTACCCACACCAGCCTGGCAAAATGACATGAACAAAAGCAAGGCGCTTGCGGCTGCCCGAGCTGGGTTTGACGGGTCTACAAAGCAACACAGTTCAGTTCTGAGCCCATATCCCCCTTGGTACCGCTGCACGTGTCTCCAAACAATGGATTGACTATAACATAGATGACTCTTCTCTGGTCCAACCCCTATGAACCATTGTCAGGTAGCAACCAGTGACAAGTTGACTTGTTTGGTGGCCCGGGTACCTGCCACATCTTTCAATATATAGGAACTGAAATTTATCGAACCCGCGAAGCGACCGATGCAAACCAAAGCAAGAGGCCCATGGCTCTTAATGTCGAACTGCAATTCTTGGACCCGCGAAGCAATCCCAAGCAAAGAGCAATGGCTTTCATGAAGGAACTTGCACGAAACTTAGTTGTTTCACGAACAGCGGTTGCTCAAGAAGGGGACTCAACATGATGTTACATCTCTCTTTCTTTGGTTTGCATCTCTCTTTTCATGTAGCAACTTGTCTCATTCCTCCCATCTCATTCACTTCCTACTTCCTGGGCGCTCGAAAGGGCGGACTCTCTCAAGCGTCGGCCGCTGCATGGCGCCGCTGCGCCTCCTCAGCAGCTGCCTGAGTGGTAGCTTTCCAGTTGCATTGCAATGGTGTCAGGAGGCAAAAACAGCGCCTGGTGGGGTTGCTTCATGTTCAAGGCCCTGGAAGCCAATGCAACTCTGTTTGGAATTGACCATCTTTAGTGGAATACCCACCAAACCAAAAAGGGAAAGGTCCTACTGAAGAACTGGGTGAACGGCCCCGTCAACGTTGACCCCTTATCTGTTGATGACAGACCAAAACAAAGTACATACAGCTTTCATGAAAGGGCTAGGGTTCAAAGGGTCTGACAAGGGACTGGACATTTCCAGAAAGAACCTTCCAGATGAATACAAAGGCATTACCCCGAGCAAAGGATTCCTCAACAGGGGAATCAGTCAGGGTTCATTGCTGTAGGTGCGGCGGCCCTCCCCCAATTCCGCTTACAGGTGGCGGGCATGTGTTTGGTTCGGTGCCGCAGGCATGTTCACAAGAACAACCTTGTCAATGTTGGACCCTTTAGGAATAGCACCCAAAATTATAGAAACTCTTTTTCTAATCCGGGATCCTGTGACTGTTCTGGGGGTCGTCTATTGTGGAAAGCTTTTTTTGCCCCCCCCCCCCCCCCCCGCAAAAAAAATAAATCAGAGCTTCTTTATTCACTTTCTGGATCTGCTCGGGCTCAGGCACACAACTCCAGGCAAACATTAGGGAATCCATTTCTTGATGTGGTCCCCAAACCATCAAATTTACGATAACTTATTTACACAAAAAAGGATGGGCAAACAGCCACACAAAGGGGGTTGCCCACAAGAGGACTCCTGGACTCTATATTGGACCCTCTTTACACGGACCACCCCCCCCTGAACAGTGAAACCAGTCAGCCGGACCCTTTTTAGTGAAAATCCCTGGGGTCTGGGAGGGACAGTACTTACTTTAGTATTGCCAATTCTACTTTAGCATTTCCAAGGCCGACTCTCAGATTCCCAGTACTTACTTTAGTATTGCCAATTCTACTTTAGCATTTCCAAGGCCGACTCTCAGATTCCCAGTACTTACTTTAGTATTGCCAATTCTACTTTAGTATTGCCAAGGCTGACTCTCAGATTCCCAGCACTTACTTTAGTATTGCCAAGTCTACTTTAGTATTGCCAAGGCCGACTGTCAGATTCCCAGTACTTACTTTAGCATTGCCAATTCTACTTTAGTATTGCCAAGGCCGACTCTCAGATTCCCAGTACTTACTTTAGCATTGCCAATTCTACTTTAGTATTGCCAAGGCCGACTCTCAGATTCCCAGTACTTACTTTAGCATTGCCAATTGTACTTGAGTATTGCCAAGGCTGACTCTCAGATTCCCAGTACTTACGTTAGCATTGCCAATTCTACCTTAGTATTGCCAAGGACGGTTTTTGTTCAGCCAAAAAAAAACACGTTGGAGACTAAAGAGGGCCCCAAAACAGTCACATTAAAGAGGATCAGGGCCCCTGCGGTCTTTTTGTCGCAGCGCCGTCGATCGGCTGCCAATTTCGCTGGCATCTCCTTACGGAACTTGAACCCTATCCAGAAAACGGGTTTGGACGTGGCTTTTGAGGTCCCACCCGCTGTAGAAGGTTAAAGGAGTACTAAAAGATTACTAAACAAATGGACTAACAGGGGGAAGAACAGGTGAACTCCACAAAAGGCGCATCCAAAACGGTTTCTAGACCCTAGGCCTTGCCACCTCCTGGCCAAGAGACGGTGGAAACGAAAGCTACGCATGGCAAAGGCACCTAGGGACACTCGGAAAATCGGGCCAGCCAGCGGATCAGCCGGCCCGAAGAAGGATTGCTGCTCAGGCGTTTGGCTGGAGTTCAAAGTATCACAAGTCACTTTGGAAGATAGGGTAAGGAAAGTGATGCCATATCATGCCGTGACCATGCTGTGGACAGAACATTGGCAGTACATGCGCATATCTTTAGTCTACAAAAGCCGTGGCGTTGTCCAGCAGGCAGTGCCTGACCCGCAGTGAGAGCCAGGCCCTCAGGGCGCTTTTTCAGCATCACTGACCTCATACTTGTGGCAAACAAGACTGACCTGAGCCTCACAGACGAAATGTACACATCTTCAACGATGGCTCGAGCACTGGCGTTGAACAAGTATGAGGCCTGACGCACTGCCTACAATGATATAGAGGCAGGCTTCAGCGGCTCCATCTGAAGAATAAGGGTGACGTCTTTTCGCGCCTCGGCTAAGATAGGAGTGGTTGCAAACTGAGCAGTTTTGGCGCGTGGCTTGCGAACTTACCACCCATCCTCCAGTTCCAAGGCATGAAATGCGATTGAAACCGGGACAAGGATTCAGCACATATTTCCATCGGATGCCCCCAAGATTAGCAGGATGCTTCCTGACAACCATGAGCGGACTGAGCCCAGCTGATTGGAGCTCGGCAGCTTGGCAGCCAGCATCTGACCAATCCACTGCCGCATGCCCCCAGAGGTTCCAACAAGTCTTGAAGGAAACCCATCCCATCCTCGAAGCAGGTGAAACCGCACCTTCTCAACAAGAAGCCTTCAATGCTTCCTGACTGGGAGAATTCAAAGGGCAAAAGAACTACAAGTGCGCTGGGATATTGAACAGCAAGGGTAGTTTCATTCATTTCTGCAGACAAAACGGTCAACATGTGTAGTTGCACGGAACCAAACGCCCAAGTCTGTGCTTCCAGCTCCCAACAGCAAAGGGGACCTAGGGTTGAAAGGTTCCGGCTGAGCGGCTGAGCAGAGCTGAATGCACAGTCCGCAACAATCCCAACAGTGCAGGGGCCTCAAGGGCTTGATAAGGCCATGGAACCCCTGTATTTCCTTCACACGTTTCTCCTAGTTCTGTGGTACTTTCGCCAGTTGCCCCACTCCTGTTGGCCAAGCCACGCCACTAGCCTTATTCTGGTCAAAGAAAAGGAATACCCGTTTCTGCTTCGTCGCCGTATTGCCTTGGCTCGAGACAGTCGCGAATTGCAGGTTGAGCACTCTGTGAAACTGCCTGCATCTATCCATGCTGGTTGACGAACATCTTTCACATGCACTTGACAACCTGATTCTGAAACGAAGCAACACAGGGCGGTTGTTATAGCTTGGAGAACAACGAACAACAATGCAAGAGCTTGGCTGCAACTGCCCACTCGCGCGTGACTTGGTGTGACTTGGGGCCATCTGAAACTAGGCCCCTGCATTCAGTAACCCAAAGCGTTGCTCCAAAGACCCTGGGACAATGATAGCGACTCTACGGGGATCTGCAGGATCCTGGTAATTTTGTTACCCTTCGGTCGTATAGGTCGAGAACAAATATGTGACATATATATATATATGCATATAACCCATGGCCCATGTGCATATATACAAATATATATGATTATATGTGTATATATAAATATACTTGTATGTATACGTGTGTGTCATCCATTCTCGTCCCGGAATTTTACGCAAAACACGTGTCGCCCAAAGAAGCTAATCCTCAATCTGAATCAAAACTGGCTGTTGCTTGAGATTATGTAGGCTCTTTTGCATCTAACCCGTCACCATCCCAGTTAGCTGTCGCGTGGTCTTGTCTGTTCCTCTGCTTTCAGAACTGGGGCGAATGGGTTGTGAAAAGATCTCTGGATCATTCTGGATCTCTCTCTCTCACTCTCTCTCTCTCTCTATCTTTCTCTTTCTCGCTCTGCCTCTGGTCTGTCTTTCTCTTCATGCATACCCCCGGCTGCCATGAAAGCTGACAGGCACCCACGCTCCCCAACAAGTGTTCCAAGGAAAAACGGCGGAATTGACCCTACAGAACCCAATAGTTCCTTGGAGTCTGTTCTTTGCGGATACCAACAAGCCATCTGGGAATGATCATCCACTTGCCCTTGTGCAACCACACCTCTGCCAACGAGGATCATTGAGGCAGCTAACCTGGAACCAAACAATGCTGGAGGCGCGCTAGCTTTGAGATCTGAGTCACTGTAGAAGCACGCCACGGCGCCATGAGAAAAGTCATGATCTTGTTCCTGGGCAAAACCGATTTTCGGATCAAGGAGTCACAGTGGCTTGCCCTCCCACACTCCCAGCATGTGGCTGACCATGGGATGATAGGCCTACCCCTTAAGCGAGAAAACCAGCCTGGCTGCCGCGGTCAAGACACAAAGGGTGAGCAAGAAAAAGTGGCAATCAAGAGCGCAAATGCCCTCTCCTCAGCTCATACCTTCTCCACCACACTGCGAGTTCTGAGTATGCCTCGCCACCACCAGCCTAAGCACCAGCACCGAAACCAGACCTGGCACCAACAACAACAACAACAAACGCAAGGTGAAGGACAAGAACAGCAGTAGCCACAATCAGCAATGAGGAAAACGTCCGGAAAGGACAAAGTGCAGCCACATCGGGACATGCAAAGGGTGAAGGGCAAGCAGGTGTTCGCCCCCAACCAGGTAAAGCAAGCCGGCCCTTCCAACCCCAAACTTTTTGTGTCTCCCCACAAACGCTGCCCGACATCCCCAGTCGCCATTAATTCTTGGCCAAGGCTCTACACAACTGTTATTGGCCACCCACAGCCTGAGACGGATTTTGTCCCCCGGCCAGTTCTGGACACACTTCACCTCCACGAAGCCTCTGCCGCCGGCTTTCAAGAAGCCGCTCTCGGACTGCGGCCGGAGGATTACTTTAAACAAGGTGTTGGTGTCCGCGGCGAGCGGAATCTGGCACTCGTTGGACACGAGCTGCCTCTCTTTGTCCAGCTTCCGAGTCGTGAGCGTCCAAACCACCATGCCCCCGTAGGCTTCATGCTCTGTGTAAACGTGAATGCCGGGCAAAGTCGGGCGATCAAGAACGCAGTTGGCAAGGTCGTTGGCCAGAAACTCGACTACCGTGCCTGGCAAAGGCATGACAGCCAAGTAGCCACACCCGACCCACAAGCCTCCGCCCAGAAAAGCTTGAAATTCTCTCCGCTCCAACAAAGGCTCTGGAGTCGTTGCATTGCCTGGGTATGCCCAGGTCTAGCACAGTAGCATGTTACATGATGGCTGGGTA